GTGGACACCCGAGCAATATGTATTCACAATTTCTTAAAAGTTAAGATAAATAACAATATTTAGCATGAACTGAATCGCTTTTTAAATTACCTCCCTTGGAATAATTATGAAAGATTTTATTAAACATTTTAATTGATTAGTTTTATTTGACCCTACTTTATTAAAATGAATCCATTTTTCTAGATATAATTGTTTTTACAGCTATCTAGCATGCGTGATAGTAGATCTAAGTCTATATTCAGGGTTCCCACAAATTTTTTACCAGAAAATTCCCTGCTATTCCAAGAAATTCCCTGCTATTTCAAGTATAAATTCCCTGCTATTCGAAGAAATTCCCTGCTATTTTACATATAAATTTCAACGCGCATAACCATTGAACTTGCCGATTTAAATTTAATTAAACCACAAAAAAGCAGACATTTTTTAGGGGTGGCACTCATTTTTTAAAGTGAATCATATCCTAAAATTAAATCCCAAAACTGAAATTTTTAAACTGTGAAACTTGATGTTGCGTCAGAAATTTAAAAAAATACTTACTTTTTAAAACATTTGATTCATATTAATAATATCATGTTATATTTTTAAAAATAATTCCTTTCGTGATTTTAACTTTATAAAAATCTTTAAAAAAATTAATATTTAAAGGATTGTGAATGTAACAAAAATAGTTTAAAATAGTAGACCCATCTTGATCCCATAATCATTATAATGTAATATTACATTTCTAGAACCTCCCCCAATACAAAACAACTGTTTATGATAATACAATTAATAAGTTAAGCTAATAGTAGTCACAATTTAAAACCTTATCTTAAAAGTTGTAGAAATGTATACTGCAGTTACTAACATATCTAAGTAGGCCTATTTAATTTTAGCACTTCCTATATTGAGTTCAATAAAGTAGTCAGCCAAAAGTGTGTAGTTATTCACCTAACCAACAAACTGTAAACAGCAGATAATTTGTTTAAAGACAAGAAGTTTGAAATTATCTCTCACTGCTACTATTGTACTAATGAATACCTTAGTATAGCTAATATCTAATATTTAAACTATAATGATCATTCGGACTGTTTTCCACTCAATGTTTATGTCGTTTCTTAGAGGTACCTTTATTTTTAAAACTTAAACAAGCCTAATATTAACAAACATTAGTTTGATAGACAAGGGGTCATCCATAAATGACGTCACGCTTTTTTGACGATTTTTACCTCCCCCCCCCCTTCCCCTCCGTCACACATCGTCACAAAAAGCCAGACCCCCCCCCCCCCTAAAATGACGTCACACCTCAACCTACAACCCCCCTCAAAATTGCAGTTGAATTTCTCTTAAAACATCGATATTTTTTTCTAAAACCTGTCAACAGAGTATTTTAATAAATTCTTATTAGAATTTATTAAAACAGTTTTCTAAAACGCGAAAGAACGGCTAAAACTCGTTTTCTAACATTGCCGTTTTATTATTCAAAAGTGTGACGTCACACCATCTGAACACCCCCCCCCCTCCCCCTCATCACACACCGTCACAAAAGTACGGACCCCCCCCCCCCCTTACGAGTGTGACTTCATTTATGGACGACCCCCAATGAGATCAACCGGAGTAACTGAAATTAGATCCTGTGGCATTTTTTTATATAAAATAAATCGTATTTTGAATAAGAAAAAAAAAACGTAAAAATAAAAACCAACTTCTAAGCCAAGCATACCCATACTTAAGACAATAGTAAATACATCAATATGTATGCTTTTCAAAAGCCTAGACTGTATAGCATCCCCCCTTCCCCACAACTAGACAACGTGGAGAGGTCATTGTGAAGGCCTATAGCATACGTCAACTACTATTTGAGATAGCTGATGACGTCACTTTATCTCCCCCCCCCCCCCCAACCACCTTGCGGTATGAACGCGTGGGCCTACTTGGGGTCACAGTGAGTTCAAGAAAGTCCTATTTACTCCAGGTACTCCCCTCCCATGAAATAATTGTAGTTGACCCATCTACGCATTTCACATTGTTGGTGACGTCACTAGCCTTTAATTTTTTTCTTATGAACGCGAGAAAGGCTGGCTTTTGCAAATTTCGTTGTTGTTTTTTTTAATCTGTGTTTCTCCCAAATTCAGTATCACTGGTTAAATAGTCTGCTAGAACAGTTATCCTTAAAATAATATTTAACAAAACTGTACTCGCGCGGGATCCTAGTCCTTTTAATACAGTTTAAATAGGTCAATATCTAGACTACACGGCGAGTTTACGGCAAGTTAAAAAAAAATCACGTGTTGCCTAAACTAAATTTTAAACTAATCCTAAAAAAAACCAATGAAAAAAATTACGTCACGCCAATGATGGGTAACCCTAAGCAAGCATAGCAGTAGATGTACCATGTACACATGTGTAATGGGCGGAAAACAGATCAACGGTAAAGAGGCACCACGAGAACCGGCGAGACTAGTTTTGTACGCCAAAACTAGGTCACGAGATGTGGCGAGACTAGCGATTGGATAGGCCTAAACCCGGTTCAAATCTCGCGACACCCGAAAGAAAAAACCATGGGAAGCAAGATTTCCCGGTTTTTAAAGATATTTCCCGGTTATTCATCGAAATTCCCAGTTTTCACGGCCGGGAAATTAAATCTTGAAATTCCCGGTTTTTTCCCGGTTTCCCGGCTGCGTGGGAACCCTGTATATTATTAAGCCTATGTGAACTTTTAAAAAAGATGACCCGAAGTAGCGAAGTAGGTCTGTTTTTCAATTAGCTTGAAGGTGGGGGGGGGGGGGGGGGGGGGGGGGAGAAAAGTAAAGACATTGACGATCTCATGAACTTGTGTTCATTCTATGACGTCTACTATAGGCCTGCTGAACTCACAGTGACCCCCGCTGTGGGATTTTTCACCCACGGGATAGTAAATGTTAGCAAGCAATCATGTAGTTAGTCTCATATAAATTCAATTTTCTTCAAATTATAAAAAGAATAGCATATAATTGTAGAGCTTTAAAAATGCAATCCAACAGTACCAATTTTATTAATTTAGCATAATTGGTTGATTAAATATAATTTTTTTAGTGTCGCAAATAAAATATATTAATATACAGAAATGCGACCAAAAACGCAGGTAAAAAGTCAAATTCACTTGTTTTAAAGCTAGTAAGCAAGAAAAAGACATGATTCTTTCTTACTATTGAAATCAGTTTGCTTATACCTACATTTTTTTACACCAAGGTGAAAGTAAATAGTTTATATATATTTATAAAATGCCATTTATATAATTTATTGTATGTTTTGTGATGAATTTTCAATTGGAAAATACCGCATTTGGAAGCAGAAAGATAACATTTACAGATCAGATGTTGTTTGGAATGTTATAGATCTATATCAAAATGTTTAATAAAATTCAATTAGAGTCCACCCATTTCTGGTGGGTACCTGATATACATTGGGGAAATTAAAGGTAAAAAGTAACGGCGGTTGTGAGTAGTGATGACCACACGGACAATCACTTCATATGCCGAGGTCAAAAAACATGAACTCTACTTCATCTGCTAAATAGATTGCTTGGTCTACAGAGGAATCTTAATTAATGTTTACAGGGGCCTAATAAAATTGAGTTATGTTTGTAAAAACATTAGGCCTAAGCTTTAAAAACTTATTTTGGTCAATATCGGAAAAAATAAAAATCTTTTCGACTAAATGAGTTGAAAAAATCTTTGAATTTGTTTCATTGTTTGTTATTATATCTTGTAGTATTTAGAATTGAAGCTTTCTTTTTTAATTACAAGTTGTATTAATTTCAAACCTTAATGTAATTTCTTTTTAATTCAGTATTACTATTAGCCTAAATGTAAGGTAGGCTACAGAATTCAGATATTACCTATGGTTTTGTGATTTTTATATGTTTATAACATTTGTGTTTATGAAATGACCTAATGAAGTTATCAAGCAAACTGTTTTATTATTATTTTAATAGGCCTGCAAGTTATAAGTACAAAATATAGATATCTAATCACTAGATCTAGGTCTAAGTTTAAGAAAAAACTACCAAAAGGGTTTGAAATACTTAAATATAGTACTAAAAGTAGCTATGTTTTGAAAAAAAAATATCTTAAACTGGAGACATTCAATTTAAAAGTCATTATAAAAACTCCATGATCTAGATTTATTTCTAGATCTCTAGTAGGAATACAGATTTAGAGGCTTTCCCATCAGTATCAATGTACTATCTTAGCTATGTGGGAGGTCAGTACGAGTTCACTGGGAAAAAAATCGGATCTGCCGTAGGGGGGTGGGTTTAGTGCGCAAATGCTCCTGACCGATTGCCAAAAGGTACAGAAATTCTAAAGATACATTTTAAAAGAAAAATGGACGGCTGAACTGCAGTTATCAAAATATCTGTATAAGTAGAAGTATAAATAATAATATTTTACACAAATATAGCTGTCTTTTGCTAAATCTAGCTCAATTTCCACGAAAATCGCATCCGGTCGCAATAATTTTTATATCAACTTGTCGGCCATTCAACGATCTATCACGTGTAGCAGACGCCAAACAGATTTACCCGTATGGTATTGCGCGAATGCTATTTTTAGCAACAGTGCCGAGACGCGATCGAAAAAAACGAACTAGAAAGTGGCCATAAAAAAGCGGGTCAGGGGAGGTAATTCAACTCGCGTTATGAGACTAGCTAAATTATCATGCGAGTGACGATGTTTGGAGATTTAATTAAATTAATATTTAGGCCTAAATTAAATTAATACATTACCTTACGTTTTTGCGTTTCTGTTGTATTTATAACAAAATACACTCAACCTGAGGTGAACGTGAAGCGGTGAATAAAATACGCTAAAATGGAGTTTTACCTCCTCCTCAAAATGTGAAAAAGTTTAAAAGTTTAAGCGTCACCTTTGTTCACATTACTAATCTCGGCCGTTTTTGCGTACCTAAAACAATAGATTATCCTATTTACATTACATTAGAATTATTATTTAATATATCTCTAGTATTCTCTAGTCTACCTTCAGCTGGGAATTCTTCAAATTCATCATCTTCTTCAAGTAAGCCTAGATCAGGTCGTGCGATATTTTCCATTTTTAAATGTCTGACAGTCAGAATCTAGAGTTAGAGTCTAGATCTAAATCTTTCTATATATTAGTTACTAGATAGATCTAGAAATCTAGATCTATATCTGATCTAGATCTAGATAAAAAGAGTATTTTTGAGGTGGGAATTAGGTCTCTAGATCTCTAGAATCTAGATCGGGATCTCAAGTGGTCGCACCAAATAGGTTTAAGCCGAAACAAACCTAAAATCTTCCAAACAGAACCAAAACGAAAATCTCCCGGAAATTATCTGGTAATGTTTGTTTAGTTTCGTAAACATTACGATATACTAGATTATTTATATTATATAGGCCTACTAGATATCTAGATCTAGATTCTAGACCCTATACATTTTTAGAACACAAAGCCCGCCAAAAGTTAATCTTACCTGGAAACATTTTCTCCACAGAACCTTTATAACTAGCGTTCACAATTACAGAACATATTATAGATCTAGAACATTTTATAAAACATCATGACCTAGACTTTACTACGACTTCTAGATTTATTAATAAAAATGAATTGAACAGGTAAAAAGCTTTATAAAACAATATATATATATATATATATATATATATATATATATATATATATATATATATACATATACATATACATATACATATATATATATATATATATATATATATATATATATATATATATATATATATATATATATATATATATATATATATATATATATATATATATATATAACTTTAAAATGTTGACCGAAAAAAATTCGCAACGGAAAAAAGCGCATTTTCTGTTTTTGCATACTTTTGTGTGCGCAGCGCAATTTTTTCTTTGCGCTTTTTAAAGCTTGCGCATTTTTCATTGCGTATTTTTCGCGCGCATTTTTCCATTGCGCATATTTCTGGAAATCAAAGACATAGCACATATTATTAACTAAACTTTCTCGAATATTCTTATATAACACTACGGGGGATGGCAACGCGGGATATAGTCATGATTTTTAATCCATTTTTAATTACTTAAATTTTAAAAAATAGAATAGAATCTATTAGAAAAAAATATTCATAAAAAACGTTTTAATAACAAGCTTTTATGTAATGATGCACTAAAAAGTAGAAAATAAATTATAGACTACTATTTAAATAACTATAAAGAAAAGCGTGGGTCACTTTAGTATCTATTGGATACCTTTACTAATGTTAAGGAAGACACCCACGCTTTTCTTTATAGTTATTTAAATAGTAGTCTATAATTTATTTTCTACTTTTTAGTGCATCATTACATAAAAGCTTGTTATTAAAACGTTTTTTATGAATTTTGTTTCAGTACTTTACATGTTTTATTTACAATAGAGTTACATGACTAAAAACCATTGCGCGCCTACTGAACATCACGTTCAGTAGGCGCGCAATGATTTTTGAACGCAGCCATTACGCAGCTATTGAAGGTGATGACGCGTGTGGTGTGGTTGGCTAGACAAGCCTACTAATTCGGTCCAAATTTTAATTAATTCATAAAAAATTAATTAGGCATCCAATTAAGTCAAATTTAGTTTCAGATTGCATTGTCTTCATGTCTTGACACACGTGCCAAATGTGAATCGCATCGGTCAAGTAGAACTGTCCGAATTTCCACTCCTGCGTTTCGGTCTAGACAGACTGACGACTGACGAGGAAGTGAGTTAAATAAAAGCTTATAAAAAAGAATTGCGCCTAAGAGAATGGCAAACAATATGTGTATAATAGTTCGGAATATCATCAGTACTTTATAAATTCATTTTCGTTTAATGAGAAATCGGAAATAGCGTAAATTACTACTTCCGATCAACGGAAATTACTCAAAATTTGACAGACGGCAGAGAATTGGTTTTTTTTACTTATATGTGAAATTTCATGAATCTATCTGAAACAGTACTGAACTTATAGGCTTTTGAAAAATGGAAAGTGGAATAAGTTCCACTTCTGGCTACCAGAAATCGCTGAAAAGTTGATACAGAACTACAAATTCGATGTAATACTTATATATGAAATTTCATCAACCTAGCTATAACGGAACTCAAATTATCGTGTTCACAGACACACATACACACACACACACAGACATACGGACAAAATTGCAAACTATGTTTCTCCGACTCAGGGAGGTGTAAAACGTCGAGATCTGAGAAAATCTTATTTCGATTTTTTGCTCGATTACAATACTTCCTCTATACTTCGTATACGAGAAAGTAAATTCATCTGAGTTATAGAGGGTAGCTTGTCGCAGGCGCAACTTCATTTAGGCCAGTCTTTTTATTGTCTATCTTTGGAGTTTAGAGCAGTCTCTGTTATAATATGGTACATAGTTGGGTAATAAATTGGTTTTATATATATATATATATATATATATATATATATATATATATATATATATATATATATATATATATATATATATATATATATATATATATATATATATATATATATATATATATATATATATATATAAGATCGTACAAGTGACATACAATAGCAAATTATCAGAAACATGAATTGTACACAGTGGAATAAAACATGGTTATTTCATTGACTGGTTGATTGTATAATGAAACAAGCATAAAGAAACAAATTGGAATCCAACGGACACAACTGCTCGAATTATTTCGCAGATGTGCGCTGCCTTCTCGCACATAGGCAACAATAAATGCAGAACATAGAGTACTGGTCGAAGAAGCAATAATATTAGAACGGGAGGGTGCGATATGTTAGCACTTGGTATCCGTTAATAGTTCGTCCTGTATAGCGCGTAAGGAATACTACTATATTCAGCGTTAAAACTTTAACAGGCGCAACCGCCGGCGCCCCATAGATTGCACGACCCGAAGCGCCAAGGGTACCCCTGCGAGCACTATGGCACCTCTGCGGTAGTGTAATCGGGGGCCCTGAGAGCGTCCATATACGTCCCTGACACAAAGACGGTCACCGAGGCGTGTTCTACCTCATTATTTTGTGAGCGATTAACGTACACTCAAGGTTGTTTTTTTTTTTTGCGGTAGTGTAGGTTAAACCAGTGCCCCTATATTTATGATCCAAGCGCAGGCATTGTTTACATTTAAATAACTCAGTTTTAGAAAACGCGTCTAAGAACATAGGATTGATAAAACATTCATGAAACCCTTCTGATATATTTCGTCAGACTTTCTTCTATCCCCGAGGTGACGCGCAGGGACGGGGACGCTTATATATATATATATATATATATATATATATATATATATATATATATATATATATATATATATATATATATATATAAGCTTGTATTTAACTCACTTCCTTTGTCTGTCGTCAGTCAGTCTTTCTAGATCGAAACGCCCGAGCAAAATTACGGGCACTTCTAACTGACAGATACGGTTCGTATTTGGTACTTGGGTCAAGACATGAAGACAATGCAACATGACATTCAATTTGACTGAATTGGTTGCCTAATTAATTTTTATGAACTAATTAAAATTTTGTTCAAATTAGTAGGCTGTCTCATCAAATTATTCCGCGATATTAGACACGCGTTATCATGTTCAATAGTGCGTCATCACGTTCAATAGGTACGCAATGGTTTTTAGTCATGTAACTCTGTTGTAAACAAAACATGTAAAGTACTAAACAAATTTTTCATATAAAACGTTTAAATAACAAGCTTTTATGTAATAATGCACTAAAAATGAGAAAATAAATTATACACTACTATTTAAATAACTATAAAGAAAAGCGTGGGTCTCTTTATAAATATTAGTAAAGGTATCCAATATATACTAAAGTGACCCCCGCTCTTCTTTATCATCTAGTTATTTAAATAGTAGTCTATAATTTATTTTCTCCTTCTTAGTGCATTATTCCATAAAAACGTGTTATTAAAACGTTTTTTATGAATTTTTTTTTCACGTTTGTCTTGTTTTCCAAAAGTTTAATTAAATGTGATCAATGTAGATAGTTCATTTTTTGAATCTTAGCTGTTGGGGCGCGGCTTTGTCCATACTACCAACGAGACACACCAAGGGATGCTGTAAGTTCCTCGGCGACGGCCCAGGTGTCAGGGCAGTCACGAGGCTCTTTGGAGCTACTGGTTACATTACTGCATGGATGATGGGTAACTTACTTTACTTAGTCCTCTTTATCCTTATGGAACATAGGGCCCAGGGGCGGAACTACAGTGCCGCCAGACCCCGCAATGCGGGGGGGCCCAGACCGATTAGGGGCCCAAAAATCCTGGCGAAATTATTTTTTTTTTAAATTTAAAAAAAAAAAATAGGTGGAGGTCGAGTTATATTTTTTCTACAGTTACAAACAAACACGATAGTCGGCAAACGTCTTTGAGAAAAATGCACAGAGAGACCGCCAGACATATAGACAACTTCAAAGACGTAGCCTACCGTTCTTTTTTGTGGCGTCGATTAGGAGAACAAAAAAGCATTGTTATATTGTTTACATTATTAAAATACATATCTATGATTGTGTGTTTAAACTACTGGCCTGAATTCTACAAAAAATATAATTTTTTATTTTGATCTCATACATTTATAATTGCGTCATTTTTACTTTAACAACTGTATCAATAAACTTGTAAAAGTTTAAATTATCTCCCTTCAGCGAAGCATCTGAAATTTGACTGCCGGCACGCTTTGAAATCGGACTGGGGAAATGTTGCGGCGACTATCCTGGTCTTCTAGGCGACCGGAAAAAGTCGGCACTATTGATATAGATGTTTATCGGCGCTTTCTTGTCCCCTTCCAATGAACTTCCCAACTCTCTCCCCTCCCCCCTCTCACCCCTACCCCTCACTCTACCCCTCACCACACCCTTACTCTTACATTCAATAAGATGTAATACATAGATTAACGAACCGTCTATGAACTACTGAACTGTAAACTGACCACTCCTGCACATTTTGTTAAAGACATTAGTCAGTAGTTGTTCATTTACCTGATGAACAGGGGCGGAACTACAGTCCGGCTAGACCCCGCAATGCGTGCGGGGGGGGGGGGGCAGGCCGTTTAGGGGCCCACGGCTGACCAAAATTAATATTTTTTAAAATTTTGAATTTAATTTCCGTGCATTTTTGCCTTAATATTTGGTTTGTAAAAGAAAAACACTGTAGCTGCGGTACGATTATCTTTATTTTACAGTCACTATACCACGCTCTTCCGCAAAAGATAAAATCCATTACACAAACTACAGTGTAAAATA